ATGTGCCTTTGAATGGTGCTGTGTTCAAGAGGGCTTCTACTGAAACAGAGTAATTCAGTTCCTATCAAAGCCTCACCATTCACACTTATCCATAATTTAGATCGCCATGCTGGCCCAGATGCCATGTTATCACGCCTTTTCTTTTATTTAGCTGTACTTTTGTTTCCCCTTCTTCTTTCCACCTTTTTTTTTTTTTTACATTTCCTTCTAGCCTGAGGTTCAGAAGACACCTTGAGTTACCTCACCTGTCTACCCCTTTTGGAATGGCCCGATCTGTGTAATCGGGCTTGATTCTGAGCCCTCTTCGCCATTGCACTTATCTATTGCAGTCTTTTACCCTTCTGCTCTTCCTGCATTTGAATCAAAGGCTGGTACAACTTATACACACTTAAGCCTTGCTTTTAAAAAACTATACTTTTTTTTTCTTCAGCTGAAAAACATGTTTAAATATTTAGCACCCATATTCACAGCTGTTTGACACTTGTAATTCCTCGTCTTACAAGTCCCAAACAAACGGCACAGAAGATCACACAGTCAGTCTGAATCACAGCTGTCATCATTATTCACTTTGACTCTCCCCCACCCTTATTGAAATAATAAGGAAATCATCTGAACTTTGGAAAATGGTGATAGTAACCGCCTGTGTTTGATATTGAAAAAAGGCAGGAGAGCGAAAAAAGAGGGGAGAGATTTCTTTTGAGCTACAGCTGCATTGTTCTGGGGCTCCCTGTTAATAACTTACAACTGAAGAGTGTTTCTTGACGCAAAAAAGCACAACAAAAAAACACCATTTTCATGGTTCCTAAGAAGATCTTTGTTCAAAATGTAGGTGTCAGATGAAAAGGCATACATGCATAGGCAGAAATGGTGGTGGCGGGTGGAAGGGGGAAATGCACCAGTGCACTCAAAGATGCACAATATTTTTCATATATTGTATTTAAATCTTTTGCTAGAACACTCCATGAGACAATCAGATGTGATTTTGGTGAGATCCATAGTTTTTCTTAAGTAGATTAATAGCATATCTGAATTGCAAGCCAGTATTTGAGTTTGAACAGGTGTTAGGGTATCTTTGCCTTATTCTGAAGGTTTCACAATGGTTATATCAGAACCACTGGGGTCAAGCCTTGATATGGGATGTTGTAGCACAGTAGGGGCTGGCAGCCACTTTGCATTTTCTTCGACAAAAATGCTGACGTGTATGCCTTGAATTTTGCTTGCCAACTGCAGAATGAAACCGTAGCTGAACACTTCGATACATTCACATTTTTGTGGTTGTTTTGTGACATTTGGATATTGGAACAAAATTGCTTTTGTGGGAAGTAAGAGTCCCCTCATTGTAGATTAAGATTGTAGACATAATCAGCCTATCAGCCTCGACTGTGACTACATACTGTAGGATGTTTAGTTTTAATTGTACATGTTCCTTTTCATTATTTTCCATGGTATCATCCTGTGTCCATGGCTGGATTGTTTCATTATTAGGGCCATCACAGTGTGCCATTACTGGATTCTTAGTGGCTGAACTCTCACCCTTTCCTTCAGGTTCTGTCACCGTCAAACTCAGGGCGCATTATTCTAATGATCACACACACATATACACCGCCACTGCCACCACTACCTCCCAGCACCCCCCTCCACCCCCCACCTCACGCACCCACCCACCCACACTCACCCTCCCCTCCCCCCGGCACTAAAAAGAAGACAGAATGAGGGAGAGAAGAGAAGGAGAGGGAGAGTGAGGGAGAGAAATTCAGGAGGAGAAAGCTTTGAAGTGGCTTTCCATCGCAGTGAGTCTGCCGGCCGTCTCCCCGAGACGTGTCACCTTTGCCGAGAGGGAATAGGAAAATCACGTTTCGAATGGTAATGATAACATACTAATCACTTGAGCTCTTTGAAGAACCCAGGGAGTGCGCTACTCTGTCAGTATCCCCGGCTGCCTCATGCTCCCAGGCACACACAGGCACTGCAGCCATGGTCTAGGTGTATTAGCTTAAGCATTGCATGTCAATACGTCCCCTCTGATCCATAGGGGCTCATTATAGCCCAAGCTTGGTATCCATTTTCTCCCACGTGCACACTGCCACCATGTCTGCCGGTGCCACTACCACTTCCACACCCATGTAACCCCTCCCCAAAATCCCCTACCACACCCTTCACCAAAAACACACCACACCTTGCATCCCATCCCACTCACTGTTCCTTCATCGCTCTCCTCCTACCAGCAGCCCATATTACCACCCACACACACACACCCACCCGTTCTCCTATCCCTCCATCCTCCCCCTGCCCTCCCTTTAACTATTAAAAAGTATCTCTGCAATTTTAAATGACATCTGTCAGCGGTGCAAAGAAAAAGGAAGCGAGGGAAAGAAAAGAGTTCAGAGGGAGTTTTCTCCTCCCTGCTCTTTTCCCATCCCTCTTATTGTCAAACTTTGAAAAGTGTGTCGTCGACTTTTTTTTTTCCTCCACGTTTTTCATTTCCTCTGAGTGATTAGCTGGTACACATTTTGACAGCCTTACCAAAACTAGAGATTTCACTTCTCCCCCTGTCCCTTTCACTCATATGATGGGCATAAACCCTTGTCAGAGAGGCGGTTGTCATTCGTCGGGTTGTTTTTGAGTGTCAAATATGTTACATCTGATCAGTTTCTTAACATAGCATATTAGAAAGGCCATCAAAACCAACAACATTCGAGTAAACATGCAAATCTTCCATGTTTATGCTGTTTATAATCCTCTCTACTGAACCCAGTTTAAATTTAATGAAAGCTAGGTCTTAGTTTGGACATGCACATATGCATATTTGAAGTTTGTATGTTAGATAGGTGGTTGAAACTTGCAGCCGAACACACAGATTGACAAAAGGATTTTACTGAGATTACACTGTGCCTCGGCATAATGAGACAGACTGTTTGATGGTATTGACAACATTTTTTAAAAGGAAATGTTGTATAGACAATATGCGCAAAACTTGAATTACTGTCTTCAACACCTAAATGTTTGGCTGGGAATTTGTAAAAAGGAGAAAGTAGTCTATTAATTTTAACCAAAATAACAGTTTGGTCAATATTTAAAATCTTCTTGAAGTAGGCACAGTGATAAAATGAAAGGGCATAAAATGAAACAACTTCAATATAACGGTTAATTCACAGGAATTATTTGATTGATCAAACAGTTGCTTGCATAACTAACCCCCTTGTGATATAGTACGGTCTTATCACAGAGACATAGTTTATTAGATCTTGGAAATAAGAACATAGTTATGTCAGAAACACAGAACCAAACCTAATGCAGACCAATGATGCAGACATTTAAACACCCTAAAATAATCAAATTTAAACGATTGTCCAAAACATTGATAGTGAAGTGGAAGGAAACCTCCATGGGAAAACTAAGGGTTAAAACATCCATTATCTAATATCGACACTTTTGACAGCACAACTAATGCGAGTGAGATCAGTGATAGTTCGTGAACCTCATGTGTACAATGGTCGCAACACTGTAATGTTGAAAATGAATAATTAAATTTGGTATTCCAAGCAAGAGATTTTCTTTTTCCTAAAGAATAGTTTTCAGTTCTCAGTGACAAATTTACTACCTGTCGCTGTTAGTTGGTAAGTAAAATGCTAAAATCACTCACAACATATGTACAAAACTCACTAAAATAATACATATTCCACTTGATTCAGGATAATAAAGCACACATTACATTGAACAATCCAAAAAATGTCCAGGTATAGATCAACATGTCTGTGTAAGCTTTTGTTTAAATGTAGCATTGGTTCCTTGTTATTTTTTTATTTTTTTACTTTAAGAAAGTGTATTTAAAAGCAAATAAATTGCCCGTTACCATAAAACTTCTTGTTTATTTTATAAATATATCTCTTAATACACTGTGCAGTAATTGGATACTTGAACAAATAAACCATAATGGTAGATTCCTACATTTGAGAGCCCCTAAGATGGAATTCAAGGCCGTCAGTCAACAGATCAGATATTTTCTTGCCTTGCTTGTCAGACATGAATTGTTTAGCTATATAGAAGAAACCAAAACCAAAGATTTTCTTGGTATCTAAGGAACAGCTATCAGTTGATATGTGTACACATGATATTCGAGCCCTAGCTAACACCTTGATACTCAAAAACATCCACTTTGAAAAAATGATCAAATTGCTTATTTCATTATTTATGAAACACATCTTTTCTTGATATGCTCTGTGAACTCCATGCTTTCAATGGGCAGCCTTGTCGATTGTTGATAGTTGTGAGTAAACCAAGGGGGGATGCAGTAACTCATGCATCATGAATACTGTTTTGGTCCACTAATGTGGATAAACAAGAAGCAGAAAAGAAATGTGAGGCTTTTTTAGGATAATTATTAAATTTCACACCTCTATAATATTCATTAAATCATTATATATACTGTACATTTATGACACTGAGTGGTTTGAGAAGACTTAGATATATTATGATTAAATAAATGTTGCACTTTATTTGTTGCATTATCTACAATTGAGGGAGTAAATGTTGATTTAATCTTAAATTTCTCCTCCAGTTGGAAGCCATCACCTGGACAGGATTGTCTTTTAACTGGAAAGCTTCAAATAACATTTTTATTTTATTTCAATTTGCTCCACCTCCCATGCCTTAACTTTTCTCTGTGTGCAGCAGAAGGCTTGTGCTGTGAAACAATACAAGGAGGCAACAAACCTCAAAGTAGTTCTTGTTTTCATGTCCAAGATGAGGCGGCAGCACCTCTTACATTGTCAGCCTCAACATGCATATGCTTGATATTCCATCAGCATATAACACATTGTCATCCATGAAGGTTATTGCCAACCTGGCTGTATTATGTTGTCGCTGTGGATGTGGTCTGTCTGTTTAGGTGACAGTGTTGATGTGTTTCTTTGAAATGGGTCCCAGCCCTCTCAATCAATTTTTTTTGTGTGTGTTTGTTTCTCTGGCTTTATTTTTTATTTTTTCTCCATTTGTTGCAGAGAGCGCATCTGTTGGACAACACAGAGAAGCTGGAAAGGTCATCACGGAGACTGGAAGCCGGCTACCAGATAGCAGTAGAAACTGGTACGTATTCTGTTTTGGATTGGGTTAGGAAGGAGTACGGTGGTGTTGGGCGGGGGGGTTCAAGATAGTGGTGAGGATGAGTGAGCGACAGCAAATTGTCTTGCTCATATGCGAGGTGGGAGGATATGTGTGTTTGTGGGGGTGGAGGTGGGGGGG